AAATAATAATGATAGATAATGATAGAAAAGTGGCCGGTTCGCTTGTCTAGCCGGTTCGCTTATTAATGACGTTATATAACTTATCTTATAAACAGTTTTTAAACCGGTCTCTTTTATCGAACAGCTTTTTATTATTATTATTATTAGAAAGGTTAAAATATTATTATAATAATAACGAATTTACTATACATTAATACTTTCATATATTTAGAATTTATATATTAGCTTACTAAAACTTATAAAGACAAGCTCTTATTCACTACTAGGTACTTCTACGTTAAGTTATTTTTACTTAGTTACTTATTACAGAAGCTACTAAATTAGTCGCGATTTTCTTCCTTACGCCTAGAGGTATTACCGCGAATAAAGTAAAATAGTTTGAAATAGAATATAGAATATAGTTCTATAGGTTAGCCTAAGAGACTCGGGTAATTATATCCACTACAGCGGGGTTCGAACTTAAAGCATAAGAAATTACTAACCCCCAAGATACTCATAAGGTATATAAATCGATGATATAATAGGCAGCGGCTATGACGCGACGGGTGCGTACACGTACTTCACCCCCCGGCCCCATAACATACCTCGTCGACGTCGGTAGATAAGTAGCCCAAAGGCGGTACTAAAGGTTATGAGAAGAATAGCAAAGATACTGCCTATGGCTAAGGAGGATATCTTAATACGTCCGTCGGCATCCCCAGAAGCGACGTCGTCTGTGTACTCAGCCTGCCGGTCGAAAACGTCAGACACGCCGAGGACGCTACCGGCCTTATCAACGGCCGCCACGCGCACAAAGCGTGAAAGCTCGTCGGCCTTGATAGAGGCCGACGTCTCGAAACCTGTGCGAGGCGCGGTAAAAAGGTGCTCAATGTCGTTCACTTTGTCGGATTGTTCTGACGAGAACTATGAGGCGGAAATAGAGTAGGTTAGAAAAATTTCGCGCTGGCAAAAGTTTCGGTTGCTCGAACGAGTCTTTGGCTGCACTCACAATGAACCACTTGACGATATCGGTTGCGCCATTCCAGGACATGTAGATGGTCGCATTGCCATCGTCCTCGTCGACGACAAAACTCGGCGGCCAGGTGGGGCGACCGGTCCAGTGGCCCTTGTTGACGCGGTACATGAACATGTTGCCCTGTCTGCCAATACCCACCTTGCCCCGCTGTATGTCCATGGCCACCTGGCCGTCGCTCGCGTACTCGACTATAGAAGGCGTCCAGCCCCAGCCGACAATGGCGTTACCACTGTCCAGGAGCTGCATGCCTCCCATGGCGCCTGAGTCGAGGTGTCCTGGATGGTAGTACTCGCGGATAACGCGCGCGGTCATCTCCTTGGTGTCAATCTCGACATGGAGGCCGCGCGTCTCGCAGTGGTCGCCACAGTCGCCTTGATTTTCGTTGTGGTTGTCAAACAAGGTGATTTGACTGTGGTTGTGGTAGAAGCGAGCGTTATGCTGCCAGCCAATGTTCGTGGCGCTACCGTTGCTCAGATCCGTAAACGAATTCTTCTTCCCGCCGAGCGTCCAGATGGGCTCACCCGTTTTTCCGTCGATGAGCTGGACGGAGAAGAAGTGTCGGCTGGAGATGAGATAGTTGCCGTCTTCGGTCTAGAACAAGATGTCAGCGGAGCCCCTCCGACGTCAGTAAGACAGGGGGCAACTGCACTCGCCTTGCGAACGCCGTTCATGTGCGACAAGTCATAGTTGCCCTCCCTCTCGGAATTGAGCCCAAAGTCACCGGCGACAAATCGCGCGTATGAGTCAGCCGGGTCAAAGTGATCAGCCGCCCACCAACCGAAGAGAACCTCGTTGGTCTCCAAATCGACCTCTTGGAACCCCGTGTCGTGTACATGGCAACTGCTCGACCCACCCCAGAGACTGCAGTCAAAGTCGATTCGATGATGCGTTGTGAAGACGGCGGTGCCCTCATTAGTGACATGGAACTCGTGCATGTCTTCGTAATGGGGAGATACCGCTGTCGCATTGTACTTCTTGTTGTAATTTTCATCGACAACGACGTGTACCCCGCCGAGGTCACGGTCCTTCGCCCAGTAGGTGAGGTGCGGCTTGTCGTGGATGGTCTGCATCTCGGAATGGTAGTTATTGGTATACGACTGGTCGGCATAGACGAGGCTGAGATCGGACGCGTCGATAATCATGGGACCGGCGCCCGCGCCAATCTTGCCGTAGTTCGTGCCGATGAAGATGTAGGGAGTGTCGTCGGTGAGGTTTTTGTCCCAATGGTTGATATGAAAAACGGGGCCCTTAATGTCGGAGGAGCGAAAGGTCTGGTGAGGGAAGCCATTGTTGTCGTCTGCGAGTTTCTCGTAGGCGTCGAGATCAGATGTCACGGTAAAGTCGCCGGCAACCAAACTATGGCAAAGCCACCAGCACGATAGTACAGCCCCCACTGGATTGGATCGGAGTCGGGCCATGGTTTCAATCACGAGAGGTACCGGCGAGCGAGTGATTCTCGCGAGGAGAATAAAATAGTAATGTAACAATATGAATCGAGGAACAGCTAGTCTCGCATTGCGGGGGAAATCGGATTGCCATATCCTTTTCCCGTCTCCAGTGCGCTAAAAGGGGAGGGTGCCAAGAAATCGATAAGAGGTTGACAGGGAATAATAAGATAACTAAACTTTAGTGCAATCGGAAGATTTGGGTGCACATGCGGCATGTTTGGGTTGGAGTGAGGATACGGATGGATGGAAACGGAAAGGCCGAGGCGAGGTCCACGTTGCTGTTTAAATACAAAGTAATTCTTCTACACGTTAAAAAGCGTTGCGATATCTGGGACGCAGCCGCAAAAGACGTTCAGGAACAGGAGGGTTTCTATTAGCTGATCTACCCGTGATGCCCCTAGTAAGGGACGTTTGCGTGATCGCTGCGCCCGGGTGCGAATGTATAGTCGCCCGGTTCTGTTCGCACATACTACGTGGGAGGACAAGTGGTTGCGCCGTACTCCTCAGACGCGCGCCTGGCCGAGTTGGGCGATCGGGTTAGAGGGAATGGTTGTCTTTGATCCATCCTAAGTAACCAACTTAAACCCTGTGACAGTTTCACGCTTTCTGTCACTTGGCCGTGATCACCTGCGTTTGTTGATCGCTTCTTGACACTACGTATGTTGATTACCGGAGCACTATTCTTTCCGTACATACTCACCATGAGCTGAGGCGCCTTTCACTTGAGCCTAGATAGTAGGATCGCGGGACTTATGAGCACGCACGCATGCGTGTGGAATTGTTTGTACTCCATTGCACTCGAGGGGCCAAACACACGACGTCATCCGTTTCCCCTCGTTTTCCAGGTTCACAGACCAGATAAGGAGTATGCAACCGTAAACGGAATAGCGGAGGAACCCTGGTTGTTATGTGGGCCACACATAACCATCCTCAGACAGGTCTCGCCCACTCGGCAGGTAGACGGGGAGCTCTCAGATTGCTTCGGATAGACGTTCCTCGGCAGGTAGGCGCCTAGCCACGATAACCCGGGCCCCTTTGAATGGAAGAGGGCAACCCGGTCGGCGTGCGGGGAGGTCACTGCGCCATACCATCTCGCGGGCCGCGGGCCGTTTTGGGTGCGTTGCACGGGAGAGGATGGCATGAAAGAGTCGGCAGTGATTGGTCGGCTAGATCGGTGGAGTGGGTCGACGCTGGGGGCCAGCGGGAAGACGGCGGAGGAGATAATTAGAGAGGAACGCAAAGGAAGAGGAGAGAGAAAGAAAATGAAAAGGAGGATGTCGAGCGGTATCCCGCCCCTGGACAAGGAGTACATCCCAGCCGACAGCGTGCCCCCTCGTTAGCGACGCCCAACCCGCCCAATACCCGGCCTCTTCGCCTCACGCCGTCCCGTCGACGAGGGCAACACTACCAACAACAACGACACCAATAGCGGCCAGGTCAAAACGGTGCCCCTGGAGAGGCTCAAGTTCGAGGGCTAGTGAGTCGACTGCCCCTACAGGCCCAGACCAAGGTGCGGGGGCGGACCAAGGGCATGCGCACCTTTTGTGCCCGCTGCCTGGGCGCGAGACGTGGCGGGAGAAGACGCGCCGGGCGTGCGACCACTGCAACGAGGAGCTCGCGACGCAGCGCAAGGGCAAGAATGTCTTTGTCCGAAAGAAGTGATTCATTTCGTCCATTGCAGGCGGGGTGAGGATCCTAGGACCGCGGATGAAGTGAGAGCGTAGGGGAGGAAAGGAGGAAAGTTAGGCAAGATTGAGGAGCGCGTCGGGTGGCGCGCCGGGCTGCTATGTGTGCTCAGTTGCCGCGCGTGCATGGAGTTGCGTGAGCGGATCGGATGATACCAGATGAGTCTGTTTATTTGTCTCTACTCTTCTTCATTCAATTGTCGACGAGTTCTCTTCAAAATCGCCGGTCCTTTGTGTCAAGTGCCTCGTTGAACTGTCGCATGTTTCGAACTCCAATCCGCGCGTGAATGGGAATGCAAGCGGCTTTGAGGGACCCCTGGCACATTGCAGTATTGGGCAATGTTGACTAGTCATGCGTCCTAAAGTAGCCCGCCTCTGAGGGCACACGAGACTGACAAATCTGGGCAACTCACATTGGCAAGCAAGCCACTCCTCGCCTTCGCCTCCTGGAGCGCCCCCCGCATCGACGTCCTTGGCCCCGCCCCGGACGGCGCCTCCCTCTGGCACAAATTCTACACCGGCTGGGACTGGCAGCCCGCAGAGGGTCTCCAGCGCGTGCCCGCCGCCGACGTGACCTGCCCCTTGAGTACTTCGTGGGGCGAGGACCACCTCGACGTCGTCAGTGTCTCAGAGTCCGAGTCTATCTATCATAAGTACTGGCAGGAAGGCTAGTCTGCTTGGGAGGATCTCGGTAGCGGCCCCTTTGCTGGGAGGCCGACGATTACTTTGTGTGGTCCCGGTCGCTTGAATATCTGGGCCGTCGGCGAGGGCGGAGTGCTGCGCCGGGGTCTAGGACGATTCCCAATATCTCGAATGTGAGACGCTGGGCGGCAACTTCACCGAGGTACGTGCACTGGGACGTCCCCAAGATTGACATTGTCGGCAAGATTGGGGATACCTTCCGCCTAAAGAGCTACGACGGGTCGCAGTAGAACCCGAGCCTCGGGGGCTGGTACGGCCTCGCGTCGCCGCTTGCTTCAGAGCCGAGCGTGGTGGCGCGATGAGGTGTCAGTACGTCACCAAATTCGCCTTACTCCCTCACCCTTGCGAGTGTTTTTAAGCACAGCCTACCTGAGTCCCTACGACAGACTTTTTCTCCGTCTTTGGCATTTACAAGGGCAGCTCCCTGATGTCTCAGATTTGGACTGGGTACGACTGGCAGCCGGCTGCGGACGGCGCCTGGAACCTTGGTGACTTGCCTAAAACGAAGGATTGCCCCGGCACGAAACGAGAGCAATTCCGAGCTTTGAGCTGTCCATCCATCTCGTCTACGAAGAAAACGACTTGATGCATGAATGACTACCATCTATACTAGAGAGACGGCATGGAAGACGATTCGTCTGATGGGGCCAACAGCCCGGCCGCCGCCGACTCAGAACTAATTGACTCATCTAATAAGGAGCCAACCCACCGCCAGGGTAGCTTCTCTTCCTCAGCGTCCGAGTCCCGCTTCTTTATAGACCGTCCGACCTTTTTAACCCGCTTCTGTCCATCAGTCCTCCTAACCCCCTTCCTTCGCTGCTCATCCAGATTATTCTCCGGGCAGTTCCTAGTCTGAATGTGTCAAAACACAGTAATTTGAGCTCCAAGTTCACATATAGGAGGTACAAAGCCGATGGGATTGGTATTTGGTTTCAGGCTATTAACCTAGAGACGGGCGCCTCGCTCGTGCATGTCATTTTACTATCGGGCCGTATCAGAGCACTCCAGGCATGCAGCTTCTAATTATCCAACCTGCGGATTCGGGCATGCACGCTACCAACACCCTCGTGATAAGCATATTTTCTCTATGCTTATATACATCTATATATATTTAACCAGGACGAGCAGGGCAATAACGGGCTGCATATCGCTGCGCGCATTAGGGGCCTTCCGTTAGTTGGGGCAGTTCTACGTACCTTTACGGGCCGCGATACGCTTGACGAGTTGGGGGGAGCCGGGGGAGTATGAATGTAATAGTATAGCCGAGGAGAACGGATAGATGTTTCCCGGGGGAGTAGAGATAATTCTATTGATAGAAGCGAGGAATGCCGCGGGAAGAACTACAGTAGACGAGGCCTGTATTATAGCTAGATCGAGGTTGCCGAGTTCCTCGAGCACGTGCTCGACTAGTTGAACCCTACCGGGAGCAGCGACAGGGAGAAGGCAAAGTAGCCAGCTAGCTCCTTAGTCGCTCAAAAAAACAGGTTTCGGAAAGAGAGCATGAGAGATACGTGGTTTGATTGCGCTCATAGAAACGAGCTTTGATAGACATTGAGATATCGACAGCTATCTGCGTTGCATCGCTGCCATTTTTGAGTCTCTTGTAGCATAACCCGTGTGCTAGTTCAAGACCATGCCGTCTGTTCCTACTCCAGTGTTAGCCATCTGAGCATAGATCTCGGGGTTGACGCTAAACACGTTATACGTCTCATACAGAACGTCCCTAATATCGTACACTTCACCTTTGGGAGAATAAGATTCAAAGCCGCCGTGGACGAGGTGGAATAGTCCGGGAAAAAACATATCCGCGGTAGGTGAGATAGAGCTTAACTTCCTAAAGCTACCGACGTCTCTATTGTATACACGGGCTACTGTTCCGACAACGTGACCTCAGGGTCGATCGGCCGACGGAACTTAAAGGGGTGTGTACTTCCAATCGTTTCACATGTTCGACTGGCGCAGACCAAAGGCGCTCGGGCTAAGGACAAGATACGGCAAGGGTTCGCTCGCATGTGGTTTAATGAACCCCTTGACTCCCCAGTCAACACAAGGTCCCGAGTCCACTTCTTCTTGTCTCGCAACTTTTCAAACTCGTACTCCCTTGACAAATTGTTATAGTGCTTTACTGTACCACCTCAACCCATAACGAGTGCCCTGTTTTGCGTGTTGGTCAGGTTAGGATGAGAGTGCTTACGGGAACAACATTGGTAGTTTTAACAAGCTCGCCACGACAAGAAAGCCGTTCCACGATTCTCTTCTGCTCCTTGACGTGCTCGTCTATCTGACTGATACTTATGTTATTCCCGTCGCCGTCCTCGACGTTGTGCCCGTCCGCCTACACGGGATAATCGCTCATGGACTTTCCATAGGGAATTGGAGTCGCAGAAAAGGGGCGGTCGCTCCTGGACCGTGCCACCGTTGACAGGCCCATAGTTGAGAAGCTAGTTTCGTACTCCCTGATAGCGATCTTTCCACACTCATGTCAGTGTGGATTTAATCTCAGTTTGATTGAAGCTCTGTGTTGCAGGTACTACATTAAAAATCCTCCCCGGGCTTTCCCATGTTCGGACTGCCAATTTGTGGCGAATGAAGGAGCGAATAGACTCTACTTGGCTAAAAGTAAACTACGGACGAAGAATAAAGGCCACCATACCATGAGAGCGAGAAAAGACAAGAGCAGGAAGTCATGTCCTAATACATGCTATGAGGAGTGATAAATAGTGGAATCCCGAAAAAGCTCTCCCTCTCGACGTTACGCTACGGTCAGTCGGCACCTCTACGACTCCGATATGGTTCGTCATCGCTACCAACGATATACTTCGTGCTGTCCCGCCGACTATTGCAGGGTTATTTGTCCCTAGATAACTCCGGGGGCTAAGTTTCTCGCATGAGATATTAACCAAGTGGTTACGTATCCTGTCGTTCAAACTAGGCAGCTATGAGCTATTTGTCATCCAAAGTTTTCTATCACTTACGCCTCTTGCAGATCTGACTTACCCCGAACCTACCCTCAATAAGGAGTGGGCCGAGGTACGACTCGGGAACTATATATGATTACGTTGTTAGCTAAGACTCGAGGACCGTCTTCCGCTCTTGCTCGGCGGCGCTTACCGAGAAGCCGGTTCTCCCAGCTGCTGCAGAGATAACCCCATTTGGGATCATTTGGGCAATTCTTAAATTGAGGCTCCCTCCTGGTTTCGGCGTAGGTAGGCTGATAGTTCCACTCGCAGAATCCATGCGTCGCCTGTTTCTCATGTCAGCTGGGCATATGCATAGGCCGCCAGGAAGCCAGTCTCATCGGGAACGTACTATGCACCTGACGCCTAGAGACGCTGCGTCGAACTCAGGTTCCTTCCCTGCGCAGTCCTCGATCTGGAAGACCTGGTCCAGCGTAGCCCACTCCTCTTGAACAATTGTCTTCGTCAATTCGATGTGTGTGTTGCGCGTGTCCCCGGGGTTATGAAAGGAGTAGGTGTTACCTTCCCCATCGAGCCACCATTGGTTGCAGAAACCGCCGGGGCTGAGTGCCGTGCACGATATCTCGTCAGTTTGGGTCGCAAACTGCAGTGCGTCGACCCCCGTGCTCTTCGCCGACACGATGCCGTTGGCCTTCAACGCGCTCGAAAGGATAAAGAGCTGTAGTTGCCGATAGAGCTGGGCGGACTGGATGGTCAGGGAGGCGGTGACGCGCTGCGAGAAGCCGCCCTGGCCGCACGCGGCGGTGAATAGGGTGTGATCGCGTTGGATAGAGGCAACAGTCTCGAGGAGGTTGTTCTGGTAGTCCTTGACGAGGTTGGCAAGAGAGGAGCCAATGTCGCCAAGCTGGATGAAGCGATCATCAGCCGTCTGTGAGGGTTTCACCAGGGTCTCCGGGAGATTCTTTTTAGCCAAGAGAGCTTGAGACAGGCCGGTTTGTATGAGCCCGAGTATCGTGCCGGCATCGCCTGGAATGGCACCCGTGAAGAGGCTGGCAACACCGAGAGTGGATCCCAGGATATTCATGAGGGAACTAGCGGGCTGCTGGGCCTCAATAGGCGGCGCTACCGTGGCCACAATCTTGTCGACTGTCTGGCCTGCGAGAGAGGCTCCATTGCTGAGAGCCTGGGAGTACTGGGTGAAGAATTGGTAGACGGCATAGATGTTCCACAGAGCCTGTCAAGGTGATTCTCATGTTAGTATGGGCCGGCAGATTGAGGCCCGGGTACAGCCTACGTAGAAATGCTGGTTGCTAGAGTATGTAAACCTAGATGATGGAGGGGGACAGGTCGAAGACGTGATTCTATCACAGGTCAATGTGGTCAGACCGTTGAACTGAAGATAACACTGGGCGAATCCAAGAGTGTCGCATCCCGCTGCCGTGCCGTTGGCGGCCATCCAGTCGGTGATGTACTTGTCCATTTCGAGCGCGGCCCAGCACTCAGGCTTCAAGCCGGACGATGAGTCGGGAGAGCAGTCGACATCCAGCTCTCGGCCGACGGGTGAAGCCGCGACTGTAGAGAAAAGTGGCAAAAGATAGGTGAGGGTGCACCACAACATCATGGCGAGCTTGCGGCAAAGTCTGTCAAGGAGACCCAAGGTAAAGGGAATGGTTTGGGGTAAAGAGTGAGAAGGATAATCAGAAAGAATGTCAGAAGCGGGTAGAGATGACGATGGTTTTTATATATCAGCAATTAAGTGACAGCCTCAAGCATACGATCAAATCATTATTATAGGCGCTAGCCCCCTGAAGTCAAAGTAATGAGGAGAGTATGAATGCCGAGAAGACTGCACATTATACAGGGACCTGACTCGCCCGAGACAATTAGATTCCCGGGTCGCTCCTCCTCAATCTATACCCTGCATTATATCCTTGTCAACTGACTCAACTCTGTCCTATGTAGGAATTCGTATTGGCGCGCACGGCTTCCTTAGCCTCCTGCCGTTTCGCGATTCGTCCAGTCTCGACGCGAGGACCTTCCGCCTATCGGACCGACAATGGCAACTGCCGGGGCGGTCCTTCGTCCTTACTACATTCTTATACGGTACTGTAATTAGACGGGGCCAGACCGCAGAAGTCTTTGCTGCCAAGGCGCTGGAAATGGTTTCGACTGCCCTACCCCTGCCTGTTCGAAGCCTACTAAAACGGGGCCGGCTGCTGGGCCGCATGTTCTTGCCGTGAATCACGCTTCGTCGCGCAAGGTGACAAAGAACGCTCGCTATAGGCAACCATGGCAGAAGGAATGACGAGACTCCAGGTCCCTCGCGGGGTAGTTCTCCGGTAGCGAACTCCACGGAACGGCTATGACAAATCAGGATTGTACTCCAACGCCGGTACTCTTGGCCTTTTACCTAATTATCAAGAACTAAGCATTGCATTGCAAGAGTCATAATGAGGATCAATGCCTATAAAGCATGTTGTGTCCTTCCACTCAAACCGTCAAACTCCCGCAAATACTATCCCAACGAATGTTGCCTAACATTTATCTGTACTCGAACCTTAGCTATATTCTACGATACTAGCCAGAATGGCCGATATCCCTTCCACCCAGAGGGCCGTTGCCCTCAGTGGTGTTCGTCAACCGTTGGTTGAGGTCTCATCGCCTGTATTTGCTCCTGTGGATGGCGAGGTTGTCATTCGCGTCCATTGGGCAGCATCAACGCCAATTGATCTGCATCGCGCTGACAGTGGGTTGCTGAATGACTCTTACCCATGTCTGAGCGGTAGTGGAGGGGCGTCCGGCATTGTGGTAGCTGTCAGTCCAGGAGGCGATACAAAAGGTCTTGAGGTAGGCGACCGCGTCGCTGCCTTCGCATTTCGCCGTACGGCACGCGAGGCCAACCACAAGCAGTACATCACTGTCCCAGCTTTCCTGGTGTCTCGCGTGCCCGAGGATATCACACTCCCCTCCGCTGTTACCGTCAATGATTGCCTCGTTACGGTCTTTCACACTGTGACTGCCGATCTTGGTCTGGAACTGCCTTGGCCTGTGCCGCAGGGCTGGAAGCCTGCGCAAGCGGATGAGTTCATCCTCATCTGGGGCGCTAGTAGCACGGTCGGTATATAAGCTTTGCAGGTCCTTCACTACTGGGGCTATCGCAACTTGCTTGCCGTATCAAGCAGTCGGCACCACGATCACCTGCGCTCTTTGGGCGCCACAATTTGTTTTGACTATAAACAACGTGTTGTTGTGGACGACATTCTAGGTCACGTTGCCTGCCAGTCTACACCCCAAGTGCCGTACGTGATCGACTGCATTGGCTCAGTCGATAACACGTTGCGACCTCTGACAAAGATCGCGCAGAGGGGGACTGTCCTTGCAGCCATGTTGCCATTTATCGTTCTTGACGCTTCCGACGATACCGAGCCAGAATATGAAGTGGACAGCAACAACGTACTTCCCGGCAGCTGGGCCGAAGGTGTGAAATTCCGCGGTGTCTCAACATACACATATCTCAAGGTATGATGAACCGCACTGCTCAATATTCTTGGGGTTTCAAGACAGACGCAGAATGGCTGATTCTCTTGAACATGTAGAACGAATATTTCAAGGAGGAGCTTCAACCAGTCATTGTTCCAGCTTTGTTAGCGCAACGAATCGTAAAGCCCACAGCTTTTCGTGTCGTGGACGGTGCTTCTATTACCGAGAGAGCACAGAGCGCACTGTCTTTGCTGCGGTGCAAGGATGTGAGTGGCGAACGACTTGTGTGGAAAATGATCGAGGATTGATCGTTGAAGTTGGTGTCGATCTAGTGTTGACAAAGTCAAGGTAGCTCCACCTGATTCTAATTTGACAGGTATATAGTGATTCCGCAGCTACTTGGTATCTTTCTTGTCTGGACCTTCATAGAATCTTGCCTTTCACTCAGTCTATTAGAGCACTTAAAAGAGGCATCAGCTTCATCATCACTAGTAGCCTTCACCATCACCAGCTCAGCCTTCTGCCTGGCCCGACTCATCAAGTGCATCTCCCTTTGAAAGCCTGAAGAGATCTTCAAAGACTTGTGGTACGTGACTGCCATGATAGACAGTTAGATTGACCTCTGTTTGGTAGCTCTGGAGGGGATTGTGCGGCGTAGTTACTCTTAGTGGCCGAAATCTGTTGGTCGTTTGTTCGTTTACAACCGGTCGGTCAACCTTGCGTAATGCCACTGAGCAGGAGCTCGTCATTTCTTCTGACTTTTGCGCTGCTGTGAGAGGGATTTGCGGTCATGCAGGTGGCGAAGGCCTGTTCTACGATTCTCTCAGCCGGGGGGTATTTTCACATACAGGACTTGCAGTGGTCATCGCAGCAATGTTGACCTGTGGTTCGTCATAATAGCGGCAAACGTGTCGATGTGTCTGGTTTGTGCCACGGTCCCATTGGTAAGCTCGATGCGACGCGACTTTCGAGCCTAGGTATGGTTGGGCCGGATGTTGTAGGAACAGTGGCGTCACTCATCCGGAGGTATGAAGAACTAGGAGGGCTTCCACAATCTCACCAAGAAGGGGCGCCCAATCCCCGCACTCTCCACGGCGATGCATCAGTCTGGCACCTGCGCCCAGGGCGTTCTCCCCGGCCGCACTGACCTAGAAGGCGGACTAAGCTCCCGTATCGCGTACGGGTCGAACTAACTTAGCGCTTTGAACGCACGGCCCGTTGTGTAAACCCTATTATACGTTGCTTTGTGGGTCCGGCTCCGGACTCTGGCGCGTCAGGGGTCTGTCTGCCCGACGGCCGGCTGCTTACAGAATTATCCCACCCTGGAAACGATTGCCTTTTATTAATGTGACTTTGGCATGATCAGAGAGGCATAGAGGCTTATTTAGGCCCGGCAAAAGCGAGAGATGTACATACCCGCCAATACACGTGGCTAAATACTTTCCCGGACGCGGTATTCTCACTACATACAGGAGCCTCACTCACGCATAACTTTCCCCAATAGTAGAGACAATCTATCACAGGGATGTAGCCTCGCATTAATGTGACGTGTGGTAAATCTACTCTATTGTGGGGTAGTTGCAGCTGGCGTTAATGCACGGCAGTGACACTCGGCATTCACTCTCGGTAGCGTTTAGCACACAGAAGTTCATCGCGTACTTGCCATGTATAAGCCAGTGCTATTTAGGGCAGACCATTTCCCCCGTGCACCTCATCTGCACCCCAGTGCATGTCGAATATTGTGATTGTCATTTCCACAAGAACCAAGCTATCGCGATGAGACTTCCAAGCCTTTGCGTGTTCTGGCTGTTCCCAGTCGGACATGCTACTTGCAGCCTGACCCGGAAATGTTCCGATCTCGCGGAAAAACTGTCTCTGCCCAACACAACGGTCTGGTTCACAGAATTCATCCCCGCCGGCGCCACTATATCATTCTCAGACAACGATCCAACATGTGGAAGGGCGCAGCAACAAGTCGACGTTGACATTTGCCGAGTAGCAACGCTCACCGAAACTTCCTCAAACCCGCCAAGCAATATCAGCCTTGAAGCCTGGCTACCGTCGGACTGGAACGACAGGTTTCTGAGCACAGGAAACGGTGGTCTCAGTGGCTGCATTCAGTATGAAGACATAGCTTACGGTGTTTCTCGAGGGTTTGCAACTGTCGGGGCCAACAATGGTCACAACGGCACTTCTGGCGAGCCATTCTACCAGAACCCCGGCGCTGTGGAAAACTTCGTCTACCGTTCGGTGCACCTTGGTGCCGTCTTGGGAAAACAGATCGCCGAAACGTACTACGAGAGGGCCCATGACAAGTCTTACTATCTCGGGTGCTCCACTGGTGGCAGACAGGGCTTCAAGGCAGCGCAAGAATTTCCGACCGACTTTGACGGAATAGTTGCAGGGGCTCCCGCCTTCGCCTTTACCAATTTGACGTCCTGGAGCGGTACTTTCTACACGAATTCAGGCCCACCAGGCTCTCCTACGTTTCTCAGCCAAGCACAATGGGCTCTGGTCTCCAAGGATTTTCTGGACCAATGCGATGATCTGGATGGCCTTGTCGACGGAATCATTGAGGACCCAAATCTTTGCCATTACCGGCCAGAAGCCCTCCTCTGTGGTTCAGACTCGTCAACTGACTGCCTCTCTGGCGAGCAAGCCGAGACAGTGCGGAAGGTGTTCTCCGATCTTCACGGGAAGGACGGGACTTTGGTATACCCCCGCCTTCAGCCGGGCGGCGATGCTTCCCTTCTCATGTCGGGTCGGCCATTTCCTTACACAGTTGACTGGTTCCGCTATGTCGTCTACAGCGACCCAGAATGGGAGCCTTCGACCCTAGGCCCTGAAGACTACGCTTTTGCGGCATCTCAAAACCCTTTCAATGTTCAGACGTGGGAGGGCGATCTCGCTGAAGTTCGCAATCGTGGAGCCAAAATTCTCCATTACCATGGGCTCCAGGATCCCGTCATAAGCAGCGACAACTCGGAGCGCTACTATAACCACGTTGCAAGGACGATGGGTCTGAAAACGACTGAGCTTGACCACTTTTATCGCTACTTCCGTGTTTCAGGAATGGGCCACTGCAGCGGCGGCGCAGGTGCGTACAAGATTGGTAATTCGATGAATGCTGTGTCCGGATATGAGCCTGAGGAGAATGTGCTTTCGGCAATCGTGCGTTGGGTTGAAGATGGACTTGCGCCCGAATATGTTCAAGGAACAGGGGAGACTGATGAGGGTGAGACATTTGCTAGGAATCACTGCAAGTATCCTCTCAGGGGCAGGTATGCGGGGAACGGTGACTCAAAGTCGCCGGAAAGTTGGAAGTGCGTGTGAGAACGAGGCGCCTCGCGAGGGATTCTTGACTCTTGAGTCCTTGACAATGGAGAGATATCTACGCATCCGTTTGCTAGATTGCGCTCAGGTATGGAGAGTCCGAACTCAGATGGCCGTCACGGTTGATGCATTTGCAACACCACTATACAAATCTCCAGTGCCGGTGGCCTCATTGCTCAACACGACGTCTGCGCCTTGCTTCTGGATGGACAGGGCATGCACCTCCTCTTCTCGAGACCTTACCCCGCAGATCTAGCACGTGATTACATTACCACTGTTGCTTGAGCCCGCTGCCCAGCAGGCACCTCGAGCCTCGGCTTGTGGAGTCCATGACCTGGCTGGGACCTGGGGGTGCGGGGGTTGCAGGGAACCGTTGCGGGGAACCGAGGAGCGTCCACGGTCAGGCCGCCGACCTATCAAACGACGCTCATCCACTCCTGTCCCGTTTCGAACAAAGTAGGAACTGCGCAGTCACAGCAGCCAGGGCAGTCTCCCCGAATGAAGTAAAATATCGCTAAATTCTGTGATCATCGAAGCACCCTGTCAATACCTCGGCGCATCATCACCTAGCTACGGCCATGGCCAACAGCAGTCGTTTGCCCTCCTCGGCGACGGCTGGCTTTTTCCAGTCGCTCCCAGTCGTTCAGCCTCAGTACACATTGCCCGAGCTGGTCAACTCGGGCTCTAAAAATGTTCAGGAGGCATCCGACGACCCCGTCCTCGCCCGCATCCTGATGCAGTACCTCCCCCGCAAGGCACAGTCAGAGGTCGGCGCTGCGATCCACCATCTGTCGCGCCGGGTGCTTCATCCGTCAACACTGAGCCACGCGGTTGATGCGGAAACAAACACCCCCGTACTCCGGCCGCTGACGACATTTGGCGTGGAAAATCGCGTTGATCCATTGTGGACGTCGGAGGGATGGAAGGCCCTGAAGGCCATAGGTGTCGAGGAAGATATCGTCGGTCGGGCTTATGCCCAGGGGAAAAGCCACAACCGGCGGGTTGAGCAATTCGGGCTCGCCCACGTCTGGGCGCATACATCAAGTATGACCATGTGCCCCGCCAGCATGACCGATGGCGCAGTGAAACTCCTTTCTCGGCACCTGGCGAAACCAGATGGCGACCAGCCAGGACGCAATGCTGTGTTCGCGGAGTCGTTGCGGAGGCTGGTCTCGAAGAATCCACGCGAAGCGTGGACTAGCGGACAGTGGATGACCGAAAGGACCGGCGGAAGCGACGTCAGCGGCACCGAGACCCTCGCGCGTAGGTTGACGGGGGAGGAGATTGCCTGCGACGAGAAACTGGGTCGCACACAAGACGGCATTGGCCTGCCTCTTGGACCCTGGCGAATCGATGGCTTCAAGTGGTTCAGTAGCGCCACTGACTCCGATATGACTATCCTCTTGGCCCAAACCAGAAAGGGTCTAAGCGCCTTCTACATACCCATGCGCCGCAACGAGGGTAAACAGGTGTTGACAAGCCTGGAAAAGGCAGTGGATGTAGCCACAGAACTCAATGGTATCCGCATCCAGAGGCTGAAGCACAAAATGGGAACCAGAGCCCTCCCTACGGCGGAACTTGAGCTCAAAGGGGCGCGCGGCTGGCTCATTGGGGAAGAGGGGAAAGGAATCAAGGAGATCGCAACCTTACTCAACATCACCAGGGTTCATGCCGCGACGAGTAGCATCTCCTACTGGTCTCGTGGCATGTCCATCTGCCGCGCCTACTCGAGGGTACGGAAGACTAGGGGCCGGCCGCTAACAGAGAATCCGCAGCACGTCTTTTGGATGGCGGAGGAGACAGTCAAGTACTGGGCCGCAGCGCACTTTGCCTTCTTTGGCGTTGCGCTCTTGGGTTCCAACGAGCAGGGATGGGAGGAAACCGCGGAAAATACGGCAGCCAGAATACTCATTCCGCGCGAGGACCGTGCACGAGAAGCACTACTCAGATTGCTCACGCCGGTGATGAAGGCTCAAGTGACAGTGGGAGCAGTGATCGGACTGCGCGCCAACATGGAGTGTCTGGGCGGCATTGGCTACTGCGAGAACCAGGAAGATGGCGGCGTGCTGAATATAGCCAAGATGTTCAGAGATGCGTCTGTCAACGCGATTTGGGAGGGCACAGTGAGTGTGATGGCTGAAGACGTGGGCAGAGTCATCAAGGGCAGCCGAAAACAAGGCGTCAACGTCGTCGAGGATGTTTTTGCCGCCTGGGCTAGAGGGGTCCTTCGACATTGCAGAGGACGTTTTGCACAGGAGTGCGCAGTTGTCGGCGAGAGACTGGAAGAACTCGAGGCACTTGTGCGAGACATCGGTTCTGAAGAGCTCGAATACCGGGGAAGGGATATTCTTGGCCATCTCGAGGCCATCAGCTGTGCAGTGTTGCTTCTCTTTAACGCACATATGGATGGAGATGAATTGGCATCGCATGTTGCTACACGGTATGCATGGTCCAAAACGCCCTTGCATAGTCGATGCCGGCCGGAAACCTCTAATTGGGAGAGGGAAGTGTCTACTGATCGCTATATTTTCTTGGGAAGTAGCGACCAGCCACGTGAAGGACTACAGGGCAAGCTGTAGCAACATAGGAATCAACGTCTTCCGCGCAACATAGACCCAACCGCTTACCAGTACTGTCTGATTTCCGCACCGGTTTTGTGATTGACAAGTCTGTCAACTTCTGACCAACACACAGACTTTGCCGATTCCTAGATCTCACGCGGGCCTGGTTCGGTCGGTGCGCTCCGTCCTCCGTCCTCCGTTCGGGCCCACCGACTCCACTTCGGACTGCCAAATTAGGAAGGAGGTCGTGTGTCGTGTCTGAGCTGTCGGAGGACGGAAGTGCCTACATTTAAGAGCCGCCACTCTTGTGCGGTGGGATTGACAATCGGATGCTTATATCAACAATAAATCGAAGAGAAACCTCCTCTAGCGGAGCTAAGATAACGGCTCCAAGATTGGCATATATCGCGCCACAGACGACCCAACGCCTTTAGGAAGCTCGAGTAGCTAACTATGCCGTTTGAGCCGACTTAAGAAAGCCTTTGTGAATAAAAATTAAACCTAAATACTCATATCGCAGAACGTTTCTATGCATCCGGCTTGTCGCGAACATTTACTCGACCGTGTTTATTGAGAACCGACATGACTCAAATCTCCGGGATGGCGTCGAAAGTCCTTTTGATCGCCGCTACTCTACCTCGCGTACTCGCTTGGGGTCCCCTCGGCCACGAGACCGTCGCTCTGGTTGCCACCGAGTTCGTGTTACCCGAGACGAGAGCATTTTTCCGGGAAATTTTGGGCGATAACTCGTCCACCGACTATCTCGCCGCTGTGGCCAGCTGGGCAGACGACTGGAAGAGAACGGACGAGGGCGCCTTCTCGTATACCTACCATTTCATCGATGCGCTAGACGAGCCACCGACATCGTGCAATGTTGACATTGAGAGGGATTGCGGCGAGACAGGGTGTGTCGTGAGCGCACGTGCGAATTATGTGAGCCTGGTTTACGGGTACATTGGCCACCGTCCATGCATTACTAACCAGGAATAAAGACCACACGTCTCGTGCAGAGCGAGCTGAACCGCGAAGAAAGAGAAATCGCAGCGAAGCTTGTCATTCACGTGAGTCTTCCCATTTTCTCCCCCTCCCCCAAACGAGCACCTTTGAAAGCTAAGGGTGTATAGTTTTCTGGAGACATTGGCCAGCCTCTGCACTGCGAGAACCTTGCTCGCGGCGGCAACGATATTACCGTGACCTTTGATGGTGAGGCGACCAACCTCCACTCTGTCTTGGGTTATAACATTCCTGAGGCCATTACCAATGGCTCCACACGAGCAGACGCCCATGCTTGGGCGGCTTATCTGATCTCTGCTATTAAAGCTGGTCCGTACCGATGCAAGACGCGGAACTGGGTGGCAGGCTTGCGGGTGGATGACATCGAAGACGTGGCGCTGAGATGGGCCCGAGAAAGCAACGAAGATATCTGCACGGTAGTCATGCAAGATGGCGCGGAAGTGCTGGAAGTTGGCGACTTGGCGGGTGAACATACTGAGGAGGCAAAGGGAACGGTGAATTTGCAAATTGCAAAACATGGATACCGGCTCGCGAAGCTTCTTGACGCTATTTCTCAGGCGCAGTGATATATCATTGAGCATATTATCTCCACAACGAAAAATTGGCTTCCGAGGCTGTCTTCGATTGGCAAGTTTGGTCCTGTGGCTTAATACTCGCTGCACTGCCCAGTGACGGCACCGGGTTGGCGAGCCTCTTGCTCCCTCTTGCGTGTACCTGGCATGGCCCCGATGCCTGCTTGAATCAGATGAATCGCAAGCTTTTAATAGCTAGACTCAGTGATCGTGATCCAAAAGACGTACTGGTCTGTCACAGCGTCGAGCATGGTATATATGTCTTGACTTCCATATTCATGGATCTCTGTCTTTCGCGACCTAACAGATTGGACCGGAGTAGCAGTTGCCCTGGCAATTGTAGTACCCACCAAGGTTAGAGTCACTCCCATACATGTCGTAGCCCATGAACCATCAGTTCAGTACCTTGTGGAGGTAGTCGAGGTTCTGGGGCACGCCATTGTTCTGGCCTTCCCCTGAGCAAGGATAGCCCTCCGCCAGGCCCCACGTGCATAGGTGGCACCGTAGCCTTGCTCCCTTTATGCGCCTACCATGTGTCAGGGCAAGCCAAGCAGCTGTGGGGCGAGGCGAGGTGAGGACCTGCTCCTTATCCACCGGCCTTGGCAGCGCGCTGACAGCGCATTGCGGCCGACAAGATTCAACGTGACGACACACGTCCATCGGGGCATGACATCTGGAGGAGATACTTGGAGGTCAGTTGGACGGATGGGCTCCCGCGCTATTTTCTTGTTATGAGAAAGGCCATGCAGACAGACATGGTGTGGAACGGTGACCGGGACCATTGACGAGAATTTCTTGCTCTCCTTCCCTATATCCTACGAGCTCAGACAGCGATAGGTAGTCTTCTGGACAATGTTTAGCCCCCTGTGAGGCGTCAGCCGTTGGGTCTCGCATCGATCATCTATCTGTCTTCTCCTCTGAGCCCTTCTCCGTCATGCAAGTAGAGATAAGAGTAACGAGAACTTATTATCCCGGTGGTCTAGTAGTCTAGTGGCCTCCTGTAGAGGTAGTGTCGAATAGGTGGGTGAAGGCCGGGTGGGAGCGAACGATGTCGACGGAGCCTAGGAGTGGCTCTGAAAGCTGGATGGGGATGGCGAGGCTGACAGGGTAGGTGTTGTGTGTCTGGCCCGATTTGGGCCAATAGCCGTTTCGCTCGCCTAGTAGGCTATTGGCATCATCCGTAACGAACTTGGCGCGCGGCAGAGTTAATACTATTAAGACGATCGATCGATATAGCGACAAATAGCGACTTCTTCTCTTGATAGCTTTGTGTTAACGGTAGGGCGGTTACAACACATTGGCACACCGCGTTGACGTCGCCTTAAGGGACCACGCTGTCACGGCCTGGCCCACGGGTGCATTCGTGAGCCGTCCCCGCTACGCCACAGCACAAAAGACTAGGATGTACAGTCCCCGACGTCACACTGCATTCTCATATCTGTAGCTTTCCAGAGCAGCTATGACACACGTGGGGTATCGAATTATCGCGCAACCGTAGCTAGTTTCGCGTTGGAATTTTGCATAAGATATTGAAGTGCTTCTTTGACAAGTATTTCAATAGCCAATAAAGGCTTTGAACGCGTTAGCGACGGCATTATCGCGAGATTGAGATAATCGCGGTGAAAAGCGGCCGTTAGTACGTATGATCTGGCCATTAGTGTGTTAGTGCCGATCTTAAGACATTTTTGTACCTAGGCTAACATTTGCGAACCATGATGGATTCAGATCCTTGAGCACCTACGTACAATCCTACGCATAGATGAGTTCTCCGAATCCTTCGCTACACATATCGCCACGTACTCCGGACTACACACGTCATAGTTAGTGAGACAGTCTAATTATTAGCGAGGCTTGTAAACATAGAGCTGACTTGGCTGATGTCAATTCTGAAATCTAATTATTAGCGAGGCTTGTAAACATAGAGCTGACTTGGCTGATGTCAACTCTGAAATCTAATTATTAGCGAGGCTTGTAAACATAGAGCTGACTTGGCTGATGTCAATTCTGAGAAAGTGCTCGAGACAGAAGTATAAGTAACAGCCAACGTCGCGCTTAGGCTTATCTATCAGCAACCAACACCGTCCTAAATACGTTTCGTTCAGCAGCAGCAGCAACAGAAACACTCTTCAAACCACAGCTTTGATACTCTTCCACACTCTCAAAAACTGCGAAATTTGTACAAAAACTACCGCAAGAATGTTCAAGATCACCCCCGTGGTCCTCGCCGCCTTCACTGGCATTGCTACGTATGCAGCACACGCCCCCCACCCCTTTTCTATCTTGTCTCCCAGCTCACACGTCCGCTAGCACGGCAGCCCACCTCGTAGACTTTGAGCGAGCCTGCGAGGCCTTCCCCCCCGCGGCCGGCCAGGTCGGTGTCACCGCGGCCGGCGGCACCACTGTGGAGTGGGACGGCAATAATCTCGGCAACGGGCAGTACAGCTTCGTCGTCGCTATCCACGACGAGAACTGCCGCGTCTTTGACGTTAAGGAGGCCCAGCCCCAAAGCCCCGGCTTCCACACTAACTTTGACTTTGCCGGCATCCACGAGGTGGACGTCCACTACGCCTGGATCGGCGCCGATCGAGTCAGCGTTCCGAAGGTATACTGGGACGGCACCGAGATTATGCGCTGGTGCGGCGACCACATGACGGAGATGGTGGGCATCAATGCCGGGTACTGGCGTACTTGCAACTTTGAGCAGGACGATAGGATCCGTCCTTGAGCGGTGGCCAGGCTCTTGACGATGGGATGCCAACATGGACCTTGTTACTTCCCGACATACGACTGCAAGCGCCTCTCACGTGCCTCCCACTTTTTCCTCCTATCATACGTCGGTCATGCACCACGCATGGTAGACGACGGTAGACGCCAAGCGACTACCGTCACGGGCGACTACCGTCGAGTACACATCACTCAGTATATAGGAAGACACGTTGCATCATAGTCAGTCTCTACTCAGCTTCTTAGCTATCAATACAATTATCTATACAAGTTCTACTATCTCGCATATTAGATTATGACACGACCGCTTAAGTCAACGATATCCTAGTATATTTAGTTTAGAACGTAATCCACATACGAGCGGCGCACCCAAGCGAGCGGCGCACCTTCCCCGTTATCTATACACGACTATATTCCTTACTAATTATCACCGTATTTAATAATATATAAACTTCTAAAAGAATCTAGGGTAACCCTTGCCCTCGTAGCTCTCGGGGGAGACGCGTTATTAAGTATCCGATATATTACGAAGGTCTATAATATACCTCTAATAACTATTCGTCGCTAACTAAAGTGTTTTTAGGCTAGAGCCGAAACTAAGCCGAATTTAATAAATCTAACGGATTTAGAAAAGAGAGCGATTATTAAGTATATACTCGATCTATCTATCAGACGCATGTTGCATACCAAGGTTGTTGCAGGCCGTAGGGTGGCTGAGGCCTCTAGCCCTGTGGCGGGGTGTGGCGTAGGAAACCCCGATTGGGTCACGTGCACAGAGGCGCACGAGGGAAGAACCTTCGCAGCCGGGGAATGCTTCTAGGAAGATCAAGAGATTAATACAGTCACCAAGGACCCCATACTCGCAGCTACCTAGCAGCGCCCTCGCAACATTGTGCACCTTCTCACTCTCTTCATTGAATCCCATTTCTGACACTATCTTCGCGATCTTTTCCTCCCTAATTATCTAATATCAAAGATATAAAGTACTTAATTAACTATTACGCGTACGCGACGCGCTACCCGTTAGTAAGTATTAGGTTTTAAACTATATTAAACGTTATTAAAAACTTCGCACGCGTTAGGTTCGTAAATATAATTACTAACGAGCTAAATATAAAGATCTAAAACTTATTAAGGACTAGTTTATACTTATATAGAATATATAGGCGAAATATAGGATCCTAAATAACGATATCTATAACTTCGATAAGATAGGCTTTATAATAGGTATTATCTTCGCGAGTATAGTTATTATAACCTTAGAAAGCCGAATAAAGGCTAAACTAGCCTAGCCTAGGAATAGGGAATAAGTAACTATTATTTAACGCGTTAATACGTATGGCTAGGCTATCCCTCTTTTTATTATCCTCGCGGCTAAGTACTATCTCTTAGCTTAGTATAAGGGAACTAACCTTCCGGCCGATTAAGTTATCGCTATAACCGATAATAGCTAGATAATTAATAAGATTAGCCTCGAATAAATTAAGTACTTTAATCGCTATATAAGCCCTTATACGAAAGGCGTATATTAAATACTTATTCTTAATAATTACGAAAGTTACTATTTAACCGATTTTAAGCTCTTTTTTTAAAAAAAAAAAAAAGATTATTATAGTTTATATACTAGCTTATTCTTCCTATATTCTTTAACCCCTCGATATTAGTTACTTTAGGCCTCTTAAATAAGCGTACGGGCGATAAGTAGAACATCTAATATACGTATATATCACGTATATCTTAAAGGTTAACTTCTTTCGTGCTTTTTATATAGCTTTCTTCCTTACTTTTACGAAGAAGAATATATAAGGAGGCTTTATTAGTACTAGTCTTATATTATATAACCTAGAAAGGGTCCTCTCGAAGCATAATATAAGGCTTCGTACGCTAAGTCCTTTTATAAACCTTATTTAAAATAGGCACCCTTAGGTCTTGAAAACGCTATAGAATACGTACGAGGCTAGCGTATAGTTAGAAGATATTAAAAATCGGATCTCTATCTATGAGAATAGCTCTCTAACGCTTATACTTAATACCTTAGATTAACTAACGAAGGGTACTATAGTAATAATATATTAGGTAGCTCTCTTATAAGCGGAGAATATATCGTTACTTATAGTAAATAAGGTTTTAAGTAAGCGTTCAGGGATTAAAAGAAGCTATCTTTAGTATAAAGGCACCCTTACTATATAAGATAAGAAAGACCTTATTAATTAGAAGAAGGTTAATAAATAGATTTAGGAAGAAAAGCGTATAAAGAAACGCTCTTAGCTATTAGGCAGTCCGAAGCCTATACGCTATAGTAAATACGCTAAAACAGGCTATAACATACGAAGCTATCTAGAAGATATTTAAAATCTCACTCTATCGATACTTTTATTTAACTAGTAACTAAATTGATTATATTATTCTTAATCGACCTTTTTGTATATAGATAACGGGGAAGGTGCGCCGCTCGCTTAGGTGCGCCGCTCGTATGTGGATTACGTTAAACCGACTTCTATTCTATCTACCCGGTAGCTAGTCTAGACCCGAACGTTATATAATAATAGCTCTTATTTAATACACTACCGTATTAAATACTCGAGGAATACGATACTATAGCCGAAGAGGAGAATAACTTTCATAGTAAGGACCTCGGGAAAATAATTAAGCCTAAGTTATTTTAACTATTTAATAGCACCCTAGGATAGCTAAACGGGTTCTTAACCTAACTTAAAGTATACTATCGCTTATTCCCTATTAAGCTCGCTAACGATATAGATAAGATACTTTACGTAGGAATATATCTCGCTAGCACGGCCTTAGCGTGCGTCGAACCACGTATAAGGGATGATACACTTTGGAGGTTGTGTGGCCATTCAACCAAGATGTATCTACGCTGTGTGTAAGTGTCACGTGCTAGTCACGTACACGCATAGGTACGATAGCGATAAGATAGCATTAATACCGCCGCAGCTAATCAGGCTACGCGCACACGATCCGAGGAGTAGCCGCGCTATACCTATTTAGGCTAGCCGACTAGCTACCTAAGAATATTTAAATTAATTATCCTTTTTTACTTATTTAATCTACTTTTTAGTATATTAGAGTAATAATAATTCTTAACTCCTTTATTAATTAAATAACCTTAAATAGTTACTCGATTAATTATAAGAAGTTCCCTAGTATTTTATAGCTATTCGTTCTTTTTATATTCCGTCGCGCGCTTATTAGATTAGCGCTAAGGGGCTAGAACGAATAGCGTAATAACTTCCCCTACCTATACTATAATTAAGCTAATCTTCCCTATAAAGGATTAGCCTTATAGCACCGTATCGCGTAGAGCCTTAATTAACGCGTAATAAGCCGCTAATTATACTACGACCGTACTAATTATATTATAATCGCGGCTATTAATTAGTAAAAAACACGCGCGCGTTACTATAAAGGTGAATTAAACCGCGCACCTCTTAATAAAAGTAAGCTATAGTATATATATTATTATAAAAAACGCGTATAATTAAGTATAATACTATAAAAAGAGCCCTTACTTATATCGCGGGAATTACTTACTTTCGCGCACTCTTTTAAAGTCTAAATATTAATATAATAGTAAGAGAATAACTATCTTAATCTTTCCTTTATTTTATTAAGTAATACTAATCGGCTAGATTTATTTAAGGAGGGTCTAAATACTAACTAATCTTATAAAGAGATAGATCTAGAGATAGAAAGAGCTTATATTACCTTTCTTAAAAAGCGAGCCTCCCGGTAGCTAACGATAAGTTACCGGGCACTACCTTAGTAAATATAGTTAAGTATAATAAAGTCTAAGTTTACTAATAAATATACTTAAATTACTATATTATTATTAATATTCTAACTTATTATCGGTTATTAGATATCGCGAAATTATAACTTATAATATACCTAAGCCTTCTAGGTCTATACTTATAATAGCGGGGTCGTAGAGGAAGGCTAGTGAATTTTCCGGCGGTTAGGAAAAAGACTGAACTCTTCTATTACTACTATAGCTATAACCCGCCTTATTTAACCTTCCTCCCTTACTAGATTTTCTTTCCTCTCGGCCTAATAAATCTTTTATATTACGGTTCTACTAGTTGCTAGCGGCTGGGTATAAGACCCGGCCTAGTTCACCTAGGCACGTGACGCGTGCCCACGAGGACGCACAGACCTCGTAGGGTCTTTATAAAAAAGGGGGACCGTAAATTCCCTCCTCTTTCTCTTTTCTTACCTTATCGTTAGATAGACTTAATCTAAGCTACTAAGTTATTCTAACAGGGCTTAGCCTATAATATATCTAACGATCTATCTAACGATATAGCGTATTCGTATAGCACGAGCTACGATATCCGACGAACAAACATTCGATATACCCTCGTAAGTAATTATATAAATTACCGAGTAAGTAAATACCTCGCTCCGGCCGATATAAGAGCGGATCGTAGAGCTTTCGTAGCTTATTTATAGTAGGCTCATAACGCCTGCCCTTTTACAGGCTCCCGAATAAGACACGCTTGAATATCCTATACCCGTCCCCCCTATCGTTATCGACGTAATGCCCGACGAGGTAACTTAGGCTAATATTCCGACCGAGGCGCCCCCCGAGCGAAGACCTAGCGGCTACCCTATAAGGAAGCTACTAACGAACCCTCTAAAGTTCTCGGGTAATACTAAGGACTACGACCTCTAGAGAGTCTAAATAAAGGATAAGCTCGAGCTAGACTAGAACTATTTTAACTCGTAGTAAGAACGCTAGTACCTTATTAATAGCTACCTAGATACTAACGCGTAGCGTGTCGTGCGGGCCTGTTATAAAGCAGGGGAACAGGCCGACTAGGACCCTTATAAGTTCTTAGCCTACCTTAATCGGTGCTACGCGGATCCGAACTAGAGCGCACGCGTTACGGAGACCTTACGTAACCTTAAGTAGAGCGAGGTATAGTCCTTCGCGGCCTTCCTACCTAAGTTCGAGCGTATTCTAGCGGAAGCCGGCGGCGG